TAAATATATATATATATATATATATATACACGTATATAATTAATATATTTAACATGTAATTTTAATTGTTGATTTCAGGCGCTAAGATTTGCTATGGCAATGCAGCTCACTGAGGTTATTACTGTGCCTTCCAAGTCTACATCTGACGCTATTTGCAAAGATGCTAATTGTAAAAGCGATGGCAACATTGAGAAAAACTCGTCAAATCCCTACAAATCGCAGAACATTCGCGAAAATCCAACTTTTTTTGACAAAGATGAAGTATGAAGGTTAAAAACCAAGATTTGGATAAATAAATATAACTTTATAAATGTAACTTTCGTCAATAAATGCTCAAAAATATTGCGTGTGTGTGTAAAATCAATATCGTTTAATTCTTCAGAATTCATTCTTAAAAACTTTATGCAAAACATGTATGATACGTATGTATGCCACTATATGTAGATTAAAAATTTCTTGTAAAGTATTCTTATAAAAATAATAAAAAGCTTACTCTTTCTCTGTCATTTAAGATTTTAATTTGAAAATTGTGAGACTTTGTCAGCTTGTAAATTTTTTAATGTAAGTAATTCTATCAAGAAAGATTTTTAAAACTAAATTTATGATGCAATTTCATGTAGCTTTTATATTTTATAATCTAATTTTAATAAGTTTTTGAAATTTTCTTCAATCTTATAAATTGTTTTCTTATATACAAATAATATTCGTAGATTATACAGACCGACAAAATTTAGGGGAGAGGGGTCTCGTGTTTTGAACTTCGAAAGATTCCGTAAGATTTTGATTCGCTGAACGCATCGAAAAAATATTTTTAATATTGTTGGAACATTTCTTAAATACCATAAAAACAAACCTCGATATCATTTTTTGTTTAGCCGGAAAAAATTAATAATAAAGTTACTTCCGGAAAAAACTGTTCTTGCAATCATTTAAAAAATTAAAGGTAAAAAAAAAACGGACAACGTAGTCGTTTTCAGCGCATCAAAATCTTACAGAACATCTTTCAAAGTCCAAAGCACAAGACCTCCTTTAAATTTGGTCGACCTGTGTTATATAAGATTGCAATATTAAAGTTATTATTTTTTTTTAAGATTATTTTAAATGTAGTAATTATATAAATTATAGTTTTTAGGTCTGTGATAAAAACAGATTAAATGTTGATTAAAAAACTGATTTTTTTAAAAACTTATAATTATTTACACAATAAAAATTTACATTAGATTTTAATATATTTAATATATTTAATATAGTTTCAACATTTCAAGAATACTCTTAAGGATCTTATAAATTATACATTTTAGATTTATATTTGATAGATATTTTTCTTTTTTAATTTAAAAGTAGAGTTAAATATCATGATGTTTCTATTCATTTCTTATTATTTAGCTTTCATTAATTCTGTTTTTAGTTGATTTTATTTGTTAATCAAAGTTCTGACGACTATAATCATTGTATTATTTTACTTTGATAAAATGTAAATATTTGTCATATTTATATACATATCAGGATTAAATTGTTAAACATTTTCTTCCTAATGTGCGACATTAATTCAAATATTTATGATATACATATAATATCGAAATTGTGTTTAACGAGCTACATCGGATGTATTGTGTAAATAATTAAGACATTTGTGTAATTGAATAGTTTATCTCTATAAAAAAAAAGAAATGTAAAATTGAATTAAATTTTCGCTTTCTACAAATTTTGATTACGCTTCTGTTACTCTCTCCTTACATCCAATTGTTCCGATTCTTTTTTGCCAAAGAATAGCTAAATTCAGCAGAGAAACAGCTTTATAATTGTTGTAAAATTCTTTATAAGGGCAAGAGTAATGTGATTACTCTTGCCCTTATATTCACCATATCTAAATGTAGACACAAACCAATCATATTAAAAAATCTTACAACAGTTGTGTGTGTGTGTGTGTGTGTGTGTGTGTGTGTGTGTGTGTGTGTGTGTGTGTGTGTTTGTGAGTACAAAACTATTTCTTTTGCTAACGCAGCTAATCATTAAAATCCAATTTTATAAATTATCAAAATTATGATTTTATATGTGTATAAGCATTTAGATATTTGCACTGTTCTAACGTAAGTAAAAACTATTTTATCGTATACAGATTGTTCAAATTATGTTTTGAAAATTATTAAAATTATGACTGAATGCATTAAAATATCTACAATTAATTTTATAATATTACATGTTCTTTATATCTCAATGAGATACTATTGTTATCTATACTATTGTTATATATACTATTTTTACAAAATCATATCTCATTCGCTTACGTAAAATAGTTCATGTATACTCACGATCCGTACTCTCGATCGATCATTGAAAAGTCTAACTATCTCAACTGTCCTACTGAAGTTATTGTATCCCTTGTTGTATTCTCGACCTACGAAGTTCCATATTGTTATGCTAATCAAGTTGAATATATATCTCGAAGTATAAGGTCGCCGATTAAACTTCGCTGTGACGGAGAAAGTTTCAAATGCATTTATGGAAAATATGCTACATTATAAAACTTGAAATTTGATAAGTAATAAAGAAATTCATATACTGATTATAATATAGAAAAAGTTATATTAAATTCTCTTAAATATGTATGTTGAAGATAAGTTAAGAATATCTAATAGAAGTTATGTATACTATTCCAATTTCCTAGAAAAGATTAGAATAGATGTTACAACAGATTTCATACGTACATCTTCAAAATAAATTTTGCTATATTCGTCGCAATATCATTATGTCGAAGATATAATGATTTTATGTGAGTCGTTTGCCACAAACAATCGCACTGATTAAATTACAGTGATAATTTCTCACTCAAAGCGGCGCGTAAAAACCGAGTCATTTAGTTTAGTAGTCTCTGCCACAATACATCTACATATAAGTGATCACAATAAACGCATAATTTTTCCATTGCTGGAAGCAGTCCTGGAAGGACTTTTCTAGAATTGCTTTCAGTTCCCTCAAATTTTCTTTTATGGCTACAATTGTTTCAAATCGTTTGCCTTTCATGGGTCAATTTTAAATTTTGGGAAAAGGAAAAAGTCAGAAGAGGCCAAATCTGGTGAGTAGAGTAAGTGAGAAAGTAAAGTTCCGGTCGTGTCGTTTTTATTAAGACACTTGCGAATTGACAACGCGGAATGAGCTGGTGCGTTGTCAATTCGCAAGTGTTTTAGTAAAAATGGCACGATTGTACTCCCTCACTTATTCTACTCACCAGATTTGGCAGGATATACACATACATTGGGCGCGTTCAATCCAAATAAAGTGGCTACCCTGTTCGCCGAACAATTGAATGTGATTGGTTGGATCTACGAGTAATCAATCACATACATTTGCTTGACGAACTGCCTAGTCGCTTTGCCGACTTAAACGTACCCATTGTACATGGACGCGCTTACACTAAATTAAGGAGTGTTAAAATTTGAAATTCACACCTTAATTTCCTTTGATAAAATTTCCTACAATAATTTGTTGTCTGCCCGAGACATTATAAAGAAAAGAGGACCTCCGATAAAATTGGTGGAGGTGGTGGAGGGCCTCTATAGCTCGTTTTTGTTAACTCAGTAAACGAGAATATAAATTAAAATAGATTGAAATTTTTTTCTATCCAAATGCGTATTTTAAATAGCAACTTTTTTTGGATTCAATTGGATTCAATTAGATTCAATTAGATATAATTGGATTGAAAAACTGCATTTCCCATTCAGAATTTAAAATTGAACAATATTCACAAGACACAGAAAAAGCTAATACTATTTTTAGATTGAAAGGCATAAAGATATGCTCCATGCAATTCTTATATAAATAAAAAACGCATATAAATAAAATTGCATTCAGGATTGAAAAGCATTTATTTCAATATTCGTGAATCAATATTTCTGAAAATCTAAATCCATTTCAATTCATTCTCATTTGTAGGAAAATTATACCTTAAATTGATATCATATGTTTAGAAAAGACTGAATTGATTATCTATAATTGCTAGTTATAGAGACTTTGATACATATTAGTAATTATGTTTGGTAAAAACGAGCTGAAAATTTGTATAAAGAAACATAATTTCGTAATTTTATAAGATATTATAAGATAAATATTATATAAGACAAAAGTCACTATAAATTAACTTGTTTAAATTTTCAGTTTCGTTTATTAAAATTCAACAACATTTATTTACATATGTAGAAAATGCTAAATTAAAATTTTTTCATTCAAGGAACCATTAAATTATTCCTCCTAAGTTTTATCGATAGTCGGCACGCTTCTATCAGAGAGAAAACTAAAAGAAGCAATGCTAGCCTTTTTCCCGTTACAATCGAAATCGCCCAAACATCCATTTTCATTTTGGGAACTACGTGATTACATACATTTTCTGACACTATTGATAAAATCGTATCGTCGAAAGACGTAGATGTAGTTCGTCTCTGTACTAAATTCTCAGGACAGAAGCATGCCGACTATAATTACTAGTATCTATCAAAGTCTCTATAATTACTAATAATTATAGAAACTTTTAATAAATTCAATCTCTTCTAAACATATATTGTCCATTTAAGGTATAATTTAGCAAAAATGAGCTATAAAGACTCTCCACCATCCCCGCCAATTTTATCGGCGACATCTTTTCTTTATAAGTATAGTCACCCATAAAACAAACGAGTTATTAATAAATTTAGTAGCCCATTTTTGCAGGTAAGTGTATTTTTAATTTATCTTTAATTTATTTTTTTATTTTTATGTCTAATTATTTTATTGTATTACGCTAATGAAATTGCAATAACTTTTAAATATTATTCTTTATTGTATTCGAATACAATAAATAAAAGGAGAGTTACTCAATAGTTACTTTAAAATTTTATACAAATTTATTTTTGTTAAAATCCTTAGAAAATATATATAATTATTTTAGAGAATATATATATAAAATTCTTTTATCTAAATTTTAAGTAACTCTTCTTTTATCTCTAAATTAAATAAAAGAAGAGTTACTTAAAAATTACTTTAATATTTTATACAAATTTGTTTTTGCTAAGATCTTTAAAAAAAGTAAATAATTATTTTAGACTTTATATAGAGATACATAAAATTTTTATATATAGATACTATATATATAGATACATAAAATTACTTTAGAGAATACATAATCATTTTATAGAAATATTTTATATAATTATTTTATAGAATCATTTTATATAATTATTTTATGAAATATATAATTATTTAAATCATTTTATTTGACAATGATTTAAAAATAA